AGCTGTAGTAATCGCCAGTGTGGCCACCGGCAACATGGTGGAGATCCAACTGAAGCTCGTCAAGAAATTTGGAAACAAACAACAAGCAGTCGATCTTCTTTCTCTGAACGAGTTTGATGGTTACTTCGTCATCAATGATACGAACATCAACCTCGGTATCCTTGGATTTTCTCTGAAGCCAGGAACTCCTTAAAGAACCATTATAGGACTGCTCGGGATCACCAAGAGGCCTTATGTTACAATTCTCAACATCCCCTGCAGCATCGTCTTCTGTCTTGTGCCTCTTGCTTCTCTCTCTACCACATCTTTTTTTCTCTACTAGTAATTTGAGCTCGTTAACTGTCCTAAGAAGCTCGTTGATGTACTCGATAGCATCTCCCACAATTGAGGCTCTATCGGACTTTGTTATATATGTGTAAAATTGTTATATTAGCAGCCGATATGATATAATATAAACACACCATGAAATTAAAGAGAAGCAGAAACGTGTACCTTGCTAGGGTTAGGAAGCAAATTCCTCAAGGCCGTGAACTTATCAGTCCAGTGTTCTCTCCTTTGCCGCTCCGTAGTAAGGGGCTTTTTCTTCTTGCCAGTTTCACTCCCTTTAACAATACAAGCCATGTCCCTTGTGAACTCCAGCATCCCTCCATCCCCATCTTGGTACGCCGTTACTCCGCTTGAATCTCTCTCATCCCCGAACAAAGAATTAGCACCACTTCTTAAGGTTGGCAAACTGTACCCTTGGGGTATAGATTGGAATACTTCCCTGAACAAAGGAGGTTCTGGGGGCAGGTTGAGATGAAATAACGGATCATACAAAACGGATGTGCTATCCGAGGCTGGGAGGTTTCCAATAAAGCCCAAAGGATTAGTGTCATGGTTTGAGTTTGCGAAGGAAATTGATGAATTTGGAAGCAAAGAGGATCCGGGCAAGTAAAAGAGATTGAGAAGGTCTTGTGTTTGGGGTAATGAATTGATATTGAAACTCCTATGGCCATTTTGTTGTGGGTCATCTTGATTAAAACCTATATCACCGGTGTTCCAGGTGGAGTGATCAAATGAATGGAGCTGATTTGGGTCGTCAACCACTTGTTGCATCATATGGGTATTATTATCGCAGTTTTCCACATTGAAGGCCATATGCTTTTGAAGCTCCAGTTCCATAGCGCAGAGTTCCTCAGTAGAGAGCTTCAGATTCTCTTCAAACTGCTTCTGGCTGTTTGCCACGGCTTGAGGGAACCCAGAATCTGCACCCTCTGCCATGGAGTTATTGGGATCGAATTCGAAGCACCCTGGTTCCTCATACATTGTAATAAACTAGTATTGGAAGCACAAAATTATTCCAAAAATGCCAGAGTTGAAACCAAGAATAAAAACATACCCATTATTATGATCACAAACGAAATATCAAAAGGGTCTGCTTCTTAGCGGACCTTTTCAAGAAAGGTTCATGAGACTTAAGGTTTAACTGCTATTCGGGTATATCTTTCTGTGTTAGCTGATCCAACACCAAGTGGCCACACCTCAATATGAAACAGAAAGATGACCCTCCGATTAAACTGAATGTCTTTTCTCTATTCTCTCACTGTTACAGAGAGATGAGTGTTCGGAATAACGCAGACATATAAACAGGAAGGAAAGCCTGATGGATTTTGTTTCCTTTTGTAGAGTTAGTTACTGATATTCCTAGCTCTGGCCCCCACTTGATACAAGCCACGTGATTTACCGTTTTGCCTTTTTTTCTGCTGTTTCTTCAGAGAGAATAAAATTGAAGAAGGACAAAATGGTAAATTCAGTTTATTTAATCTTTTTTTTTTAAATTAAAAATCAAGATTTGTGGGAAAACTTACTCAGGCAAAACCTTGGGTGGGAAATCGTCATTCTCCCTAATTTTAAAAGAATGGCATACCTGTAATTTGAGTGTTCACACCATTTGTGTAGTCTGCCAATGTGTGTTAGTTTAGGTCGGAGAGATAAATTAGTGTGTTTTTATACGCGTGTATGGACCCCACCATCTCAAACTAACTATTATAACCGTTCAACCTTCAACAGCCACAAAGATGTCCAAGTTGAAGTCGTTTATAGGGAGAATAACATTTTCCCACTCAAGGTTTGGCGAAATGGCAATCGCTCACCCATCAAGTTTTTAAAATGACACTTTCTCACCCTTCATCAGGTTCTGTTACTGTTTTCTATTAATGTTGAATTGAAAAGACAAAAAATACTCTTAAATAGTTTATTTCTTAATAGCTTCTTGACTACTCTTTCGTAATCTATTAAGATTTTTTATGTTAATTAGTAAAAATAAAAATTATTATATTATGAAAAACATTATAAATTTAATAGATTATTGAATAATAGTGATGAGATATTGATGATATTATAAATAAATAAACATTAAGGTCATTTAACTTTAAACAATTTCATAACATTATTCCTAACTTTTTAGTTGGAACTAAAACTATTTTTTCTTCTTAGACTTTTTAATATCTGAATTTTTGGCTAATTAAAAAATATATGAAGTTAAATATTTAAGGGTATTTTTGACTTTTTAGTCAAATAGTAATAAAAAAATAACAAAACTTGACGAAGGGTGGGAAAGTATCATTTTGAAACTTGATAGATGGGAAAGTGTGGTTTCGCCAAACCTTGGGTGGGAAAGTGTCGTTCTCCCTCATTTATATTAAATTCATGTTATTTTACTATTCATGGAAAGTTTGTGTCAAGCTAGCTACTCTCAATAATATTTATATTCACTTATACATACCGTCTTTCTTTGAAATCATTTTTCAACAGTAAGAGGATATTACGGTGTAATTTACTTAAATTACGGTTGTTCTTCTAATAGGACATAAATTTTTATTTTTTTTGAAATGATTTTTACCCGAATAAAATACAATATTATAACTGATGTTATTATACAATCAAATATTAATTAATTTAGTGCATAATAGGGGTGTTCAAAAGAACCGATTGAAACCAAAATTGACGGGTACCCAGGGTTTGGTTCTAGTTCCTACCCGAAACCGGCCGTCAACGGGTACGTTTCGGTTCCAAATTTTTGGAACTGTTATTGTGCGGTTCCGGTTCTCATTCTTATAGTTAGGAACTGGAATCGGAACTGGGAACCAAGACTAATATAAAATAAAATTAAAGAGTAAGGGGTTAATAAAAACTTTTGTAGAAAAAATAATGTGAATACATTTATATATCATAACATTTAAAGTAAGTTGGTTTGACTTTTGAGAATCTATCTTTACAAAGTAATGCAATTTGTAATTTTGAATTTATAATTTGTAATTTTATTTTTGTTAACAAGTTCCAGGTGGGCGGGTATTTGTAAGTTTTTAAGAGTTTTTTGCCATTTTAAAAACTTTTATGGGGTCATTGTAATTTTACAAGGTACCCAAAACCAGAACCGAAATATTGTTATAGGTTCCAGTTCTAGGTACGGTTCTGGTTCCTTCAAAAAATACAGGGTACCAAGAACTGAACACCCCTAATGCCTAGTGCCCCTAGTTGTGTGTTGTATAAGCTACATGTAAGAGGTTCACCCCTTTATTAAACTAGTTACACAGATTGACATGATCATGGAATGAATCCGTTTAAATTCAATCCCAACCTGTTTAAATGATATCGTATTTTTATCAGTTTGACCACATTTGGTATTAGAAGTGTTCAAAATCGGTTAACCGATTTTGTGAATAGAACCGATTAAGGGAAAACTCAGTTTTTCGGTTAACTACTTTAGAACCAGTTTTAATTTAATATTTAATATTTTTTATAATAAATCAAATATTTTATTTTAATTTAATATTCTTATAATACTAATCGGTTTCAATATTTTTTCAAACTGATAACCGAACTGAAAATTCTGTTTTTTGTTTTCTTTGAACCGAAACCGAACCAGTTTTTCAAATAACTGAAAATTCGGTTTGGTTGGTGGTTCTGACCAATTCTTGCATTTTTTTTTAACACCCCTAATTGATATAGACTTTAATTCAAAAAGGGCTTGGGCTTTGGGCCTTATTAAAGAGATGGGCCGAGCTTTTTTATTAGAAAGCTAAAAACGCGTGGACCTCAATAAACGAATCCTGACCGTACACTCACTCTACTAGGCTACAAATCGACGGCTGAGATAACAGAATTCAATAAAGAGAGCACAGAGAGAAGCTTCTCGAAATAGTAGAAAACATATAAAGCAAATTCGAACCAATCAGAGGAGAGAAAGAAACAAAAACAAAGATTCAGAGCAAACCCTAGGTCTCGTGATTCTGAGGTAATCTTATTAATTCTATATTTCTTGTTTAGATTCTTGATAATTAGTTGGTGATTTTTATTTTTATTTTCTCTTAGATTTTGAAACTTCGCGGTAAAAATTATGAATTTATTGGTAGATTTTTATTTTTGTCTGTTTATGATTGAGTTTTGTCAATGGAAGTTTCTTTGATTGAAAATGATTGATTTTTGTGAATAGAAGTATCTTTTATTGAAATTAATTGAGTTTGATTGATGGAAGTTTCTTTGATTGAAACTGATTGATTTTTGTGAATGGAAGTTTCTTTTATTGAAATTAATTGAGTTTGATGGATGGAAGTTTCTTTGATTGAAACTGATTGATTTATGTGAATGGAAGTTTCTTTTATTGAAATTAATTGAGTTTGATGGATTGAAGTTTCTTTGATTGAAATTAATTGACTTTTGGGATCATTTGAAACCCGAGAGAGGAGTTGTATGGCTGGTAAATGGGCAAATCGTTAAATTGATTATAGTTTTTGATAGGTAATTATTAGTTTTTGTGTTGGATTTATCATTGAATATTATTGAGCATTAAGAATTAGGTATTTCATTGGGTTTGATGTGAGAAATTTATGCCTACTGAGAAATAGAAATAAAGCCAATTGTATGTTTTGTTTAGCATGACAAATAGAAATAAAGCCAATTGTATGTTTTGTTTAGTATTTTCTTTTGCCACTTACAGGTTGTGATATTTTGGGCAAATGAGTGGTCGAAGCTACAGTTACAGTCCTTCACCACCAAGGCATTATAGCAGGAGGCATCGCAGCCCTAGCCCTAGGGGTCGTTATGGAGGTCGTGCTAGGGACATGCCTACCAGTCTTCTGGTTCGGAACCTACGCCATGACTGCAGGTTTGTATCTCTGATTTGTCCTTGCACTTGCCAATTTTGGGATGTAGATATTGCCTTTTGGTGTTTCAAATTTTTTTTTTTTTTTTTTTTTTTTTTTTTTCAAAAAACAGTCTGATTTGTTGGAATGTAAACTCTTTTCCAATTTTAACACCATGAAATGGTATAGGTGTGTTCCATAGAGTGATATAGGCTATAGGGTAGGTTTATCACTTCTGTTACATTCCCTATATGAAGATTGTTTAGTTGTATTTCTTTTGCTTGGTTCATTCAAATCCAAGAGTTGGCAGCTGAACTGGGTAGCTTGGCTGTATGGTTTGTTTCATATATAATGTGTCTTTTTGTGTGTAAAGCCAGATTTGTTTTTAACTGCGTATATAAGCCAAGCACAATTGTTAATTGACAAATGTAAGTTCAATATATTATCTTTTGTCCATCAAACTGAAAAGCTTATATAATTTGTAGGCCTGAAGATCTACGTGGACCATTTGGGCAGTTTGGTCGTCTGAAGGACATTTACTTGCCACGGGACTATTACACTGGGTAATTATGTCTGTTGTGCCTGTATAGTTTTCTTGTCTGTTAGTAAGTGAATGCAGTGCTTTAAATAAGAGCGTCAACTTGTTTGTCTCCCTCCCATCTCACGCAAGTGTTGGGGGTGGGATTGTTTCTTTATTATCTATAATTGGTTTATGGGAATTTGGTTGTGTTTATTGGAAGTGTTGAAGACACCAATGAAGTAATAAAGAACTGTGTTGAAGAGAACAATGAAGTAATAAGAGTACTCTGTTGAAGACACTTTCAAGTAATAAGAGTAGTGTTCAAGATGATCTTAATGTACATCAAGATGGGAAGAAAAGGTGGGTTTGAATACATTTTGAAGAAGTTCAAGTCTTGAAGAATTGTCAACTCATTAGATTTTTGGCTCTCACAAGGTTAGCTGCCACATGATTGTTTTGTTGAATAGTGTGGAGTATGGGCTTGTGCTTATCATGATATTTTCCATATTACCCTGTAGTCAGGATCATGTTTGTGATTTTGGCTATCAGCAATATATGTGGTTAAATGTCTTTGCACGTTTATTTTTGTGATGCTTAACATGTGTATGTTGCAGGGAACCTCGTGGTTTTGGTTTTGTCCAGTATCTAGATCCTGCTGATGCTGCTGATGCCAAATATCATATGGATGGTTATGTACTTCTTGGCAGAGAACTGACTGTTGTATTTGCAGAGGAAAACAGGAAAAAGCCTTCAGAAATGAGGGCAAGAGAACGTGTTAGGTAAGCATAGGTTCTTCGGCCTTATTGAAAAGAAAATAAGAAGTTGGTTGTTCTGTTATAATGACATTTATGGGTGATTTTGATGAATAAATATCAGGGGTCAATCATATGATCGTAGGCGGTCTCCGTTTGAATACTCACGATCACCACGTTATGTAAGGAGTTATTCTCGTAGTCCAGATTATTATTTCCCTTCTCCTATGCGCAGGCGATATTCAAGGTATTTAAATTCTGTTTTATTTTTTTGGTTATTGTCTACTCCACAATTTCTAGTTCTTTATCACTTCCAATTTAAGTATTTACTTACAAAATTTCTGTGTGACAATGGAGGTCGATTTCACCCAGAGACAGAAATTACAGAGGGCGATCTTACTCGAGGTCACCTTATGGGTCAAGGAGCAGGAGTGGAAGCATTGAATATTCTAGATGAGTTTGCTTTGATGATATGATAATAAGTTAAACCAAGGGATGATGAAGTTGATTTGTAGACATTGTGCTTTATGGAAACATCGCATTTGCTAATTTTAGGCTCTTGTTTAGCATCTAGTATTGTGTTGAGTCAACACATCACATAATACGATATTATATGATATGTTATTTCCACTTTATCCAAGTACTTTTGCCTCACGCTCGTTAGTTGAAACGACTAAATCTTTAGTGGGACTTCTGTAATCATATTTACCTGCACCAGTATATCATATAATGTTAGTAGGATTAGCCTATTGTTATTGGGTTAAGTAGAGCTGGAAGCATTGTTTTAAAACCTAGCCTGGCCTAGTCGATTGAATTGAGACTTGAGGCCTTCATTGGTTGGGTTATAAATTTTCTTATATATTAAAAGCCCTAGAAATTAAGATGACAATCGATGAGCAATTAAAGGTTGAATTGATAGGGGTTTTGAAGAGAAAGGGTGAATGAGTGCAATGGTGACGATGAAATTGATTTTCGGTGAGTGAATCAATTGAAAATCGTAAAACTAAAGTTGTTGCCAACTCTTGGTGAGGCAATCGAGAGAAAGGTGATATAAGTTTTGGTTAGGAGATTGAGGGGTGTGTGTTTTTGTGATGATGGAGATTGTTCGAAAACGGGCCTTATATGTCTTGGTTTGTCAATGTCAGTCAAACTAGTGAAACTGATCAAATCGGGACTCGGCCACTTTACTGTGTTTTACCGATTGAATATTAAAACATTGGCAAAAAAGTCATCCGGTTATTAAAATCGGGACTTGACCACTTTGCGTGTTTCGCCGGTTGAATATTAAAACATTGGCAAAAAAAGTCATCTGGTTATTAAAACATTGACAAAAAGTCATCGTTAAAATTTTTTATCAACCTTTTGATGAATTAATTTCATTGTTAAATGGTAAATATTTATTACCAGTAATAGTGTTATAATAGTGTAATTCTTAACACCTGTTATGTCACGTGACATGTAATTTTAACGTTATCTCATTTAAATCAACGTCAGTTAAACTTACTTTTGAACCGTTAGATCATAATTTAGTAGCAAATAGTATTTATCTTGATACTTTACAAAACTGAAATTTTGATGATCTTCCAAAATCTTATACGGTTCAGATCTCCACAGAGCAACCAGACTGCACAAACAATTTGTACTCATCAGGCACGTTTAACTTCTCAAATTTACCATTTTGCCCTTCAATTGAAAAGAACTCTTGCGGCCCACCTTGATAACCCGACCCACAAACCAAGGCCCATTCATCCATCTGGAACCCACACGTCCCCACCCGGATCGCAGGCTCACACTCGGCCCAAGAAAACAACTTCCCTTCTTTTCCCACCCCAACACACGACTTAGGACACCCGCTCTGACTCGGTTCCCATACGCCCTCAACTCGTTTCCACTCACCCGTCCCGAGTTGATACGACTCAGCACTTCTCTCAAACACGCCTTGACTCTCGGTCTTGTACCCGCTAACTACGCAGAACATGGACCCGATTACGACCCCCTCGCACTCGTCTCGCTCTTGACTCATAAGAGTCAATTCACTCCACTCGTTGTTGGTTAAGTCATAAGCCCAAGCGGAACTCAACGCGTTCTTGTTCTCGTCATGGCCTCCGGCGATTATGACTCGCCCGTTTAACTCACCAGCTGCGAAAAAGGACCGAGTGTCTGGCATCTTCTTGCCCTGAGACCACCTCCGAGTGGTGAACTCGTACACCAACACGTCACTCACCGGCTGGTAACTCGCCGGGTCCCATCCTCCCATCACCACAAGCTTCCCTTGAGAGCTTGCGACTTGACAGAACAACGGAAGCCCATCTGGGTATTCAGGAGCCGGGTCAACTCGGTCCCAAGCCTGACTCACAGGGTCAAAAACCGTCACTCCATAACTCACAGAACAAGCCGGTTTCACCTCATCCAAACCGGGTTCACCCGGAAGCGACTGAACCAGGCAAACGGCTTTATGGGTATGGCCGGTTTTTTTTCTCTGATCGTAAAAAGCTCCGCTTTGAATGAGGTGTTGCCAGCGTTTGCAAACTCGGGCGGCTACTCGGTGAGCTGAGTAGTGCAGTCGAGTCAAGCACTCGAGAGCAAGTTCTTCGGGTAGACCCGGAATCAAATCGGGAAATTGAATCATTTGGTTTTGAGTTCTTTATTTTTTTTTTTTTTGGTTATGGAGTGGCTTTGTGAAGTGGGGCGGTTATTTATAGTTAAAAGATGGATGATTATGGCGGCAAATTGATGGTGATACGTTGCGTTTTGCTGACTTTTTGTGGAAAAAAAGTAAGCAAGTGGATGTTGAGTGGGGTTCTACATAATATCTATCTCCATTTGGGTAAGGATTAAGTACGTCGGATCAGAATTCTCTCATAATATGAGTTGTGTCAGGTCAGGATTCTATCATGATGTAAGCTTTGTATCGAATCATAATTATCTTACGATGATAGCTTTATGTCGGATCTGAATTTTCTCGTGATGTGAACTTTTACACGCTCTTGAAAATTAATATGAAAACCTCAAAAATGGGTCCGTTTTGGTTCTATATTTCGTATTCTATTTCCAATCTTATCTTCAAAAGATGCAACTTGTTGTGCTGAGCCAGTAGAATAAGGAGAATAAGAGGATATGGGTGAAGTAACTGATTGAGCTTCCAAACAGAGGATATGAGTGAAGTAACTGATTGAGCTTCCAAAGAAAGAATTTCTTATTGCAGAACCAGAATGTCAGACTTATTTATTTAATTATTCTCAAAATAATATTATATTTTTTAAACTATTTTAAATTTCTTAAATTTATTAATTTAACTAAACACCCTTAAAAAAAAATTTAAAAATTAATAAAAACACTCACATCCACTCATATTTGTCAGATTTCGACCACCACCATCAGAAGGTGGCCGGAATCTGATATAATGGCACACTACTGACTGGATCTAGCTAATAGTGTATCGATCTATCATTTTTCGACTAGATCTACTGGAAAAGACCGGATCCACAGTCAAAGATCTAGTCGTTGATAGTCAGATCTTTGACCGTAGTTGGTCATCAGCAACGGCCAAGATATGGCCGTCGTTGACCATCAATGACGACCATATCTTTAGTCGTCGCTGACGGCTAGATCTGACAATCGACAACCAGAAATGATAGTAGATCTGGCATTTTCTGACCAAATCTGTGATGGATCTAACCGAAAAAAGCCATATCGGCACACGAACGGCCAGATCCGGTTGGTCGTGTGTCGTAACGCCAGATTCCGACGGTGGTGGTCAGAATCCGGCGACTGTGGGTGGAGGTATTTTTGTCATTTTACACAAATTTTATATATTGAGGTATTTAGTAAATTAGCAAACTTAGAGGATTGTTTTTGTTAATTTTTAAATTCTACCTCGTTATTCTCACCCAACTCTAAAAATATCAAAAATCTTATCTAAATTAACAAAAAAAAGGGACCCAAGTTATTACTGTTATATGCATATTTTATCACGTATTTTGTCTACATACGATGTTTGACTACGAGAAATTAATAGAAGACTGGTATGTTGCAATTTTAACTTGGATTAAAGAGAAAATCAAAATTTTGTTAGAGCACGATTTACACATGTTTATTAAACGTAAACCTTCTTAGACGTTTTAATCCTATTCTCAAAATTCTACTTAAAAAATGAAAAAAAACAAAAAAATAGTTTTTCACAAATCATTTTCGAACAATGGAATCCACAATAAGGTTAACTGCTAAAAAATGAACCTTCTATTATCATATTATTTTTATTATTATTATGTCTTAATCTTGGCGATTAGATTAGATGAAATCTCGAATGTCTTTTCTTTTTAGGTGTCTAATCTATTTAGAATATGTATCATAAAAATAATGGTATAAACTGAATCTCTTCATTTATATATTAAGATTATGTATGATCGAGAATTGTTATTTTTTTTTCAATCTTTATTTATTATTCATTGTTTATAATTATTTTTTCAAATATGTTTGACATATAATATTACTATTTTAACCTCCCACTACGCTAGTTTTATAGTCAACACAATCACTTTCTGTTTAATTAATCTTTTAACATCAATATCATAAGAGTAATACTATGTGCACTAATTAAATTGTACCAATTTAAGTACTAACAATTGAAATTTTAAATTTTTTTTTTTTATTTTTGAGAAAATTGACGTGATAATAAGAAAAATTTATACTTGGATTATATAGATTTTAGTTAGTACACATAACATAATTCATATCGTAATCTACAAGTTGGCCATTGAATGAGGGCATATCTAATTCAGCCGTCACAGAACATGTTTTCTTGAAGAAGATATGACAAGTTGAGTAAATGTACACGTTTACACCTTAAGGGATGTGGATAAGTCCACGATAAGTGCTACTTTTAGGGCCACGATTGAGATGGGTATATGACATTTTGAAAATGAAATTGGAAGTGTCAAAACTTATTGGATAACTATTGAGGAATGAGGATTACTTGATAACTTCAATTTTTATTTTAACCAATTTGCATATACTACCATTCAACCAATGAATGATTTACACGTCAGTATCGCTATTGAGTCAAAGACAAAAACTATATATATATATATATATATATATATGAAATTAACTTTTAAATTTTAAATTTAATGAAATTAAGAAGTTACGAAGAAAGATAAATATCAAGATCATCACAATTCAAAAATCTGTATTTTAATGTATTATTTAAGGGTGAAAATATAAAAGTGAGATTACAACAAAAACTATAATATTTTACTATAAAAGCTAGATAAAACTTTGGATGTTTTATGAATATAAATTTTGTTGTGGTTTGATTTGGACATGTTATTATTTATGTTGGCTTAATTACTTGTTCATTAGTAAACTTTCTTAGTTTTGTTTTACACTCGTCAAAGTATCATAAATTTATTTTATATCGTTAAACACAATATATATATATATATATAGAATATATATATATATATATATATATATATATATATATATATATATATATA